AGGAAGAAGAGGGTTGGCGAGGAAGAGGAGCCGGCAGCCATAGCTGACCGGAGGGTTGACCGGCGGTTACCGGAAGTTGACCGGGGGCTGATAGCAGCATTGACCGGCGTTGACCAAGGCCTTTGACGAAGGCGTTGACCAAGACTTTGACCAAGCTGGAGCCGGTAACATCTCGCCAAGCCTTCAGCCTGCCCCTCGCCCTGGATGTGTGCACACCCCTTGGTACTTGCTGAGTCCAGTCTGTCTGTCTATTCTTTCTGCATTGAGTCTCTTTTGTCCTAGGTGATAGTACTCTGTGGATGAAGGATAGGGTCTTGTTGACCAAACCCACACGGGATGAGTAGGGCTAAAAGTTGTGTCTGACGACTCGACTGTCCCGGAGGTCAAACCCTCCCAAGGACCGATACTGACCGGCGGGCTGCTCGGTGTGGCACGGTAGGCCTTGAAATCCGAGTTGTGGGCTGCACAACAAACCGTCTAAGTCTTGAGAGACCTGCTGATCGCGTCGTCCTGTCTGCGACGTTAAATAATTCCTGAGGAGTTCGGGGGATCTCCTTAAATGCCTCCTGATCAGCAACAGGTTTAGTAGTGACAGTCATAGTTAGGTCTAGGCTAGAGACCATAGTTGGCAGGATCCTTGCCAGGATTCTGTAAGTCCTTAGATTGAGTCAGTAGGTTTGTCAGTCAGGGGTCAGAGTCTACGTGGTGAGGAGTGGAATTGTTCTAATTGTGCACCTGTCACCATGGTTGAGACTCGTAGTGGGATAGACACCAGCCCATACACCCCTGAGCAGCAAGAAAAGATGACCGCCTTAGTGAAAGAGAACAGGGAGAGGAAAGAGCGCGAGAAGCAGGCGAAGCTAAAGGCTATCGCAAAGGAGCAGGCGGCGAAGATAAAGGAATTGGAGGAGGAGATGGAGAAAAAGAAGAAGGCTGCTGAAGAAGAAGCGGCAGCAGAAGAAGAAAAAGAGAGAATGTGTATTGAGACTAGAGAGGGAAGCAGTGGCACAAAGAGGGACACAGACGCAGAGATGGAGAGGAAAATAAGTGAGTGGATTGCTAATTTATCGTTGGGAGAAGATGAGGAGGCAGAGTCCTATGTGACTCAGGAGGAGAGGGATGCGCTAGCCAGTGAGCTAGCAACCATGACGGATCCTATGGAACGGCGAGAAAGGAAGGAGGAGCAAAAGTTGGCATGGAAGTTAAGGATGAAGAGGGAGAAGAAGAGGAGGAGAGAGGAAGTGAACAAGCTGACCGCAGAGGTGACAAAGGTGCAGGAGTGCAGGAAGGAAGTGTTGGCCCAGCCAGATGACAAGGCCAACTGGGATAAGGTATTGGGGTACCTAGAGGTACTGAGCAAAGCATGGATGGAGGAGCGCCAAGCTAGTTGGAGCCAAGACACAGCTCTGAGTGCCATGCGGTCAGGGTTTAGGGAGTTTGCGCGCGAGATAGTCACCCACATTGGGGGCGAAGTTAAGGAGTTGAGAGGCAATGTGGGGAAGTTTTGTGAGGGCGCTATTGAGGGCGCCAAAGCGATAGACGCTATAGAGGGCGAGGCTAGACCCCATAAAGAGCCTGTAAAGCTCAAGTTCCCAGATGCGTACGGGGGAAAGGAGGAAAACTTTGACAACTGGGAGGCCAGTGTCAACAGTTACATATATTTACAACACATCTTGACAGAGGAAGAAGTCCTCGTGGCCTTCCAGGCCCTCAAGGATGAAGCGGCTAGTTTCGCCAGGTCTCTTGCGAGCGTAGCCGGTTGTGAAAACAACCTGGTTGCATATTCAAAAGTCACCCCCCTTTCTCAATTCCTCAAGCTCCTGAAGGAGCGATTTGCAGACCCAACGAGGGGCGTTCACACCTCTAATAAGCTGCAAATGATCCACTCACGACAGTGGAGGAGTGCAAGGGCACTCAAGGGTACCACGGACGACTTGGTAGCCGTCCCAGACCATGGGGTCACTGAGCCCCAGTTGGTCCAGTTATTTTATCGTGCCATGCCAGAGGCCTTACGTGGGCATTTCTTTGACAAGTCTCAACAGGCCGGCATCACTTATGATGCATTGAGTCGAGAAGTCGTCCTGTATGAGTCGAGGTTCATGCCAGTTACCACCTTCTGGCATAAGGACTTGGATAAGGGAAAAAGGTGGAAGGGTCGTACCATCTCAGGCCAGGTGAGGGCCAAGGATCACATGATCCTTACTTTAGAGGAAGGTGGTACTGATGAGGTCCCATACAGTCAGATTGAGTGGGGCCTAGAAGAGGAGGACAGTAGTATGGGGCAGGGGAGGTCCTATGCTGCTGTCAAGGCTGGAGGGAGGCTGCACGGTAGAGGAGGAGGCCAGGGCCAAAGGGGCCAGGCCATGGGAGGCCAAGGTCCGGGCGCACAGGGGGTTGGCGGACAGGGAAACCGCCAAGCGGGAGGTAGGGGTCAAGGTCCCCCGCCAGATCGCCAAGGTTCCAATCGGTCCCCACAGCGACGAGGTGGAAGGGCACCTCAAGGAGGATGGCACCCAGGCTTGCCACAGGGCAGGCCCTGGGAAGATTTGGGCTTSGACCAGGGCATATGGCAGGAATGCGTGAACTTGGGTCAGTGCGTGTTTTGTGGTGACCCGGCCCACGTAATTAAATTTTGTCCAAAGTATAGACAGGCCCGTTGGGYTGCCCAGCAGTCAAAAGGCAGCCGCCAGTAGGGGTTGCAATMGCCCCTACTTTAAGGCCATGTGGAGAAGTGAGCGTGCGCGAACAGGACACTCCCAACCCACATGAGCCTACGACAGAGGTTGCAGGCCCGTGCCTAGCTAGCTGTCCAGAGACCGCCTGTGTTAGCGTCTCTTTAGGCACGTCYCTCACAGGTGTGGCAGAAGAGTTAAAGGAGAGGATGTCAGCCTGGGCCAAGATGAAGAAAGAGAGCAAAGGATAACTGATCCTTGTAGATGTAGAAGTTTTTAGGAGTAGAGTAGGGGCCCTTATAGACTCAGGGGCCACCCGCAGTTATATTAGCCATAGAGCGCTGAGAAAGCTGAGGCTAGGATTAAAAGTCCAGAAATTGGCAGACCCCATAGTCAGTGTCCTCGCAGACAACCGCACAATGCGTGTTGAGGACTATGTAGAGGGAGTCCAGGCGTACTTCMGCCTAGAGAAGAATGGGAAGGTGGAGAAAGTTCTACATTCCCTGACTCTCCTCGTACAAGATGACCTTCCTTTCGACGTAGTACTAGGAATGGATTGGGGAGAGGCAGCAGGGGCCACACTCCATTTGAGAGAGCATGAGTGTAGGCTTCCTAGTCCGTCAGGCGAGGTTAAGACTGCCCCTTGGCACATTGTTGTCTCAGTGCTCTCGCATTCGCGCGGTTAGTGAAGAAGGAGCGATTAGAGGAACAAGTTTTTGTAGTTTATGTTAAACCTGTCACTGAAGCCAAGGAAGAAGATAGTTCCATAGATCCAACCATAGCCAAGCTGCTGGAGGAATTCAAAGACTTGACTGAGTCGCCGACAGGAGTAGTGTCGTGACCCATCCAGCACAGGATTGAGATAGAGCCTGGCAGTAGAACTCCTAAGGGAGCAGTCTATAGGATGTCCCCTAGAGAGTTAGAGGAGCTGCGCAAGCAGTTAGAGGAGCTGCGCAAGCAGTTAGACGAGCTCCTCGAGAAAGTTTGGATCAGGCCCAGTTCGTCTCCTTTTGGGGCACCAGTTTTGTTTGTCCCCAAGAACGAAGGAG